GCCGGGCCGGGGCTCTTGTGTGCTGGGTGGTAGCGGCTGCTTCGAGGTGGGGGCTGAGGCGTGTGCTTGGTCTGCTCTGTCTCCATGCTGCTGGTCGGGAGGAGTAGTCGTAGGCTTTCATAGTAGTACGGCATCGTGCTTAAGGTGTTAAAGCGCTGCCGGAGATCATACTCATATGTTAGTCTTAGGCTGGTTTTGTCCATGAGTATAAGGCGACAGTAACGTATAGGGTTTTTTTGAGGAAACTAACATGTTAAGACGTGTGCTTGGTCTGCTCTGTCTCCATGCTGCTGGTCGGGAGGAGTAGTCGTAGGCTTTCATAGTAGTACGGCATCGTGCTTAAGGTGTTAAAGCGCTGCCGGAGATCATACTCATATGTTAGTCTTAGGCTGGTTTTGTCCATGAGTATAAGGCGACAGTAACGTATAGGGTTTTTTTGAGGAAACTAACATGTTAAGAAAATGATAATCTATAGGTGTGTTAAGAAAACTTCTGTTGTATTCTTGTAGTGATTTGGCTTGTAATCCTTGTGTTATATTAAAAGCTGCTTCATTTCTTTGGAATGGTAGAGGTATGTATATTGATGTGTTTTTGGAAATTCGTCAGTTTTTCAGTATACTTTCTAGAAGTGTCTTTTTGTAGTTCAGGACCAGTATACTTAAGTTACAAGTTCATTGTCAGCATCTGAGGGACTACTGACTATTGCTGAACGGTCACTATTTATTGATTTAGTAAGTTTGAATTGTATGTGCAGCTATCATTTTGTTTCACTCTGTATTTTCTCTTACAGAATGACACCGTAACCATCAGAACCAGGAAGTTCATGACAAACAGGCTGCTTCAGCGCAAGCAGATGGTAAAAGAATACAGAAAACTGCCTTTAATTATTGGTCTCTTAGTTCAGGGCTGCAAGTAATTTTTTAGGCATTTAAAACCTCTGGAGGTCTTGCTGTAAGAACTTAGAGGTATAAATGTGTTGATGGTAAATCTTGATAGCAAAGTAGCAGGCTGTTTAGTCATTTGAGCTTGTGCTTGGGAACGTTTAGATTGGATGTTAGGAAAAACTTTTTGAACAAAAGTGTTGTCAGGCATTGGAATGGACTGCCCAGGGAAGTGGTTGAGTCACTGTCCCTGGAGGTGTTAGATGTGGTGCTTACAGATGATTTAGTGGTGGACTTGGCAGTGCTGGGTTAACAGTTGGACTTGATGATCTTAATGGTCTTTTCTAACCTAAGTGTTTTCATGAAACAGGAAAGTTATGAATGCTTTAGTATGAAACTAATACTACTTTATTGCTAAGGTGGATTAGTTTAAGCGTGAAGCTTATGGTGGATGTGTAGTACTTGGCTACTGTACTTAAAAGTTAATCTTTTATTCAGCATGTAAAAAAATTCCTTCTTAGGTGATTGATGTTCTTCATCCTGGGAAGGCCACAGTCCCCAAAACAGAAATCAGGGAGAAGCTGGCAAAAATGTACAAGACAACTCCTGATGTAATTTTCGTCTTTGGCTTCAGAACTCACTTTGGTGGTGGCAAAACAACAGGTTTTGGCATGATCTATGATTCCCTGGACTATGCAAAAAAAAATGAACCAAAGCACAGGCTTGCCAGGGTAGGTCTTTTTTTGTTTACTTGAACATAATTAAGATGGCTTTGAGGTATTTAGTTTCATGATGTACATGTGCAAAAACTAAAATATTGTGTAAGTACTGTGGGTGTACATGAGTTATAGTGAGGTCATAGAATAGTATAGGTTAGCTTCTTTGTATGATAAGCTTTTTATTGACTGTTTCTGGGCAATTGGGAAGGAAAAACTGATGTTACTGGTGACATTTACCAGTAATGGGTAACTAACACTATTCAGGGCTTTGAAGAAGCATAAGAGATAGGGCTGATCCATATGCTACTTCAGTGCTTATATTCTGTGTTGAATCATTCATTCATTAGTGAACTTGCCTCACTATTTAGCTAATATTGGAAATTTAAACGGGTTTTGAAGAGTCCAGAAATAATTGAACTTAAATTTAGAGTTAACTATCAGTGAAGTTAAGCAATGTTAAATGCAACTTTATCTGTTTTATTAACAGCATGGCTTGTATGAAAAGAAGAAGACTTCTAGGAAGCAGCGAAAGGAGCGTAAGAACAGAATGAAGAAAGTCAGGGGCACAGCCAAGGCAAATGTTGGCGCTGGCAAGAAGGTAGGATGAGAATATCTGTAATCTAGAATGAGCATGTTGCTTTCGCAATGTTGATGAAAAACTCTTCAACAGAATTAACGTTGTTTTTCTTCCATTTCTTTCACCTGTTCTACTGGATAACAGAAGGTAATCTGTGTGGTGTTGTATAGCTTGTTACCAGTTCAGTAGCTTAGTTTTGCTCCTCACTGCTGCAAGCTTAGCTGATGTAACACAACAATGCTTCTTAAGTGATTGTTTCCTAAGTGGCACTTCGACTAAAGTTAAACGTCCGTAAATCTAATGGTATTGCTCTAATCACATAACGCCATGTTGTAATATACAAACTAGATAATATTAACACTTGTTACTCAGACTACTTAAGTATCTAATGCTTACTACACTGTTACTGTTATTTATGGTGTTACTTACCGAGGAGATTTTCTTAAGGATGTGCGTAAGTAGAAATAAGGTAGAATGCCTGCCTTATCCTCCGTTGAAGTGACTTGATTCCCAAGATAGTGGTGTTTTCCCCTGATGAGATCTTCCTTTTCTGGTGCTGGAACTTGATACAAGAGAACTTCTATACAGGAACTTGATACGTATTAAACAAAATAACCCACCAGAGCTGAGGAATAACCTGCGTGTGAACAGTCATCCTAGCAGCTTTTTGTCCTCTGAAAAATATTAAGCGAGCTCTGCAGCTAGGTGGGGCTTTCCAAGTGTTTTAACAAGAGGAGAGAGGCCGATGGGTTTTGATGCTTAGTTCTGTAGCTGCTGAAGCACCTTGACATCTTCAACTTTAGTAATCTTCACTTTTGCTTTTTTTCCTCTACTTTCTTGGAATTCTCCGTCAGAAATGAAGTGTCTAGCAGGTACTGAAAATGAGCATGGATGTGGTGACTGAATCGTACATCATGGAAACGTGTCCCTCCTTGTAATTGAAGCACCGTACTGCCTTGCATACATGCACGTTTGCTTCAAACTTCTGTCCTGAACTTCGTTCTGTGCAGCTTAGAAAAAATTTGGCTAATAGCAAACAAGACTCTTTGAAATGAGTGAAACTACATTAAAATAAGGATTTCTCAGTGAGAAGAAATCCAAAAAAACTCAGTCCTGTTGGTTCAGAACACCCCAGGTTCTGATTCAAAGTAGTACAGTGCAGTTGCATGTGTAACTTGACCTTTGTGTGAATGTAGTTGTGCATCTGTGTGAAAACTAAGTCACATCACAGCTTAATGCATTTGAGCCAGTAGTTGCAAATGACGTAGTTGTCAACATTAAACTGTATTTGACTGTTGGCCTGCAGTATTCAAAGTTAAGACACAAATTACACTGAAATTTGAAATCTGCATGAAATTAGATTCTTAATGTCTAAATGAAATTCTTACCATTGGGTGGAAATAAGCCAGTGTTGCTGCAAGCTACTAGATGAGTGAACTTTTGCTAAATAGATTTGCGGTCTTTTTCCTTTCTGCTGTAGTTCTGTGTTAATAATGAAGTTTGAAAATTGTCACAGTGTGGCAGCGCAAATGAGGATTTACTTTAGTAGTAACACTCCATGCACCCTCCTGTAAAAGTCAAGAGCGTCATTTAATGTTGCACTGATACTAGTAGCATGGATGAATGTCTTCCCTGCAAGAATTTTGCACTTGAAGGCAGCTGTTGTTGATTGATGGTTAATGCAAAGTAGTTAGGTGACACTCAATTCAATCACTAAAGCTGTCCAGCTCATAGAAATCTGTGAGGTGTATGAGCACTTTATGAAGGTAGGACCAGGATTGTGCTGTGATAATTACACAGCAGATGTGACTTCTGTATCAAGCGCTTCTTAAACTAGCATGCAGTCTCATTAGTAGATGAACTGTGTTTCTGATTAGAAGCTTTTGTCTTTTAAAATGATCTTTCAGTTGACAAGCATGCATGGGTTAGGTCTTCCTTGTTTACCACTTTTGTTAATCTTCGTGTCCTCACAGTAAACTAAAGCAAATTAATTTCTGTGCTTTCTGGAAAACCTTTTTGAGAAGACTTCTATGATGCATCACAGAAAAAAGCTTGTGGAATACACTTGTCTTAAAGCTTTGTCTTGAAAAATGCATGTTTAAATGTAATGGTGTGGCATGGTTCATCACCCTTTATCACAGCCATGTGGAGGAATTTTTAATAGGTGTCCTGCAATATGTTTTGGAGTGCACTTACACAATCTGTGAAAGCTGTTTATCTCAGAAATGTGTAGGCACTTGATTCTTAAGAGATCTTCAGGCAAGACTATATTGTTTTGAGAGTTCTGTACCATGTCCTCATGACAACTGTTTAAATGGTAAATCATATTTGAATAGTTTTTCTTGAACTTTTAAAGTCAGACATCAACACAGTAGGATCCAACTGCTAAATAAGTTTTCTTTTGGTGCTTCCTTTCACTTCTCACTCATTCAGAATTCCCCTTCTGTTTTCCCTGCAGTTTCAAGAGGAGTATTTTGAAGTATTTGGTGTTATTTAATATATTCTGTAGCTCTGTAGTTTGAGCTTGCATAAAAGATTGCACCAAGTAGATGTGGATGTCCCTCCCCTAGTACTTGCATTCAGAGCAGTGACCCTTATGTCCTGTGATAGTGAAATGCAAAACGGGGAAAAAACCCACAGCTATGCAAAAAGAAAGAAAACCCACCCTACCTTTTAATGTCACAAATGCAGGTATAATTGAACATAATTGCATTCTCTCTTACCTAACCTTTAGGCAGCTATTGTTATGTCCCATCTAAGTCTTCAGCCTCTAGTCAAAACTTTGAGGTTTTACCATCACATTCCACTGTGGTAATTGAAAAAAAGCATATTGTGTCAGCAAAAAGCCTCAAAGCTCTTTTACAGTAGTTAGAACTTGGATAAAACTCTTAATTATTAATGCTTTTTATCTTTCAGTAAATGAACATACTTCAGCTGGAAAACGCATAACAGGTATGGCTTCAAAATGCTTTCTAAGGGTCAACATTCAGTAGTATGTAGTCATCATGTGGTTATCACCATGACTTAGGTGTAATGTTGATCTGTATAGAGACTGTGGTACTTGTGCTGATACAGAATCCAGTGCAGGAGATGAAGACTATCAAAGAATGAAATATTTAAAAATCACTGTTGTGCTTCCTACTGAGTTGATAGTTTATGTGACTCTCACTTAACATGGAACACCTGATTAGTATAGAGACAAAAAATGAATCAGTCAGCTCAGATTTACTGTTTGTTTAATTTTACTGTAATCAAGGCCTATATTGTCAGTGTGCCGAAGAGAGGATAGTACACCTTGGGGGTTCTTAGCTTAAATAGATTGAAACAGTATGAGTTGTATTTTGAGGACAGACTGTTATTTTCTTGTAGATACTCAGTTCAAGTGAATTCCTTACAAACAAACTTGGTACTCTTAGACAAATCCTAGACAGTAGTTTCATGTCTTTGCTGCAGAAACATAACTGAGTTGGATGTGCTCTGGGCAGTAACTGCTACAGACAAAACTGGTTTTATTACAAATGGTCTGTATGGCTCAGTTTAAAAGAACTGAAACCGTCTGTCTGGGAGCTGCTGTAGCGAGTATACCCTCTCAGATGGAAAGCTGGCAAGGCAACTGTAGCTTGTTGAGCTCTTCTACAGCAGTGCTATGATGGAGACTCTGATTTATTCCCATGGCAGTACTGTGAAATTTTGAACCTTATGTTCTAACAAGCAGTGTGGTTCACCCAGCTTGTCTGGGAACCAGTTGTTCAGGCTTTATAAAGGTATGAGTGTAAGTTTTTAATCATGTGGCACTTATCTGTCTTTTCCTTTACAGACTGCGTTACTCTGTGAAGTATAAAAAGAATTGTGGAAAGCTGGAAAGAAGCTGTTCATCTGGCTTTAACATCAAATAAACTATGTCAATAAAATGCTGGTTTGCCCTTTAGTTTTGATTTGTAAGCTACCATTTTGTAAAGTCTGAGAAATTCAAGATTGGTGCATTCTTTGCACTGTATTAAAACCTTTTCATAATGAAACAGCTCTTGTTTTGATTATCAGATTGCAGTGAATCAGCTTTCTACAACTAGTAGTATAACCTAATTCCAAGCAGGCAGCGATAGTTGATGGAGGTATGCATGCTTCTGTCCTCTGGGGTTCAAACTGTGGTTTGCACAGTCCTTCGAAGATGTGCTTGTGTGACTGCCTGTATTATGTAGGCCTGTAGAATCTAGTTGTAGGGAGAACAAAGCATGTACACTGGGATATTCAGAGCTGCATAATTCCACATGTAGGATTTTTGCTAAAGGAGGAGTCGTGCATGGCTTGTCTTCTGTTTCTGAGTTGCCAGGACATGGTCGGGGGTCTGTGTTATGCTTACTGTGCAGTACGTCTCTAAACCTTTCATCTGGTGTTAAAGGAGTCATTTAAGATTGGATTAGTGGCTGGGGAAGGCATGCTCTGTGCTGGAAGCATGGGCTTTCTTGTGCAGGTATTGGAGTAGCAAGCAAAACAGAAGTTTTATACTTCAGATAGGGCTGAAACAGACTGGGCAGCTCTAGCAGCTCTGCTGATGAAGCCTCTGACTTACTATCTAAGTACAGTATCTTTAATTTGTACTACATTTATGCTGAGGCAGTGTATTTTAACAGGTAAGGCATTTTTAGTGTTTGGGCAGAAAACCAACAACCACAGAGTTAAAGATGTTGTAATAACTTGCATACAAAGTCTGGTAAGTATTGTAAAGCTCTTAATGCCTCTACTAGCACCTTCAGTCTGAGTCTTGAGCTACCGGCGTTGCTGTTGGCTGCGTTCGGCTGTTGTACAGTATGTTTGTCTGTACCTCATGCTGCAGTGTTTCTGCTTTCAGTGAGGTTAGTAACTGGGATTAGTAGGCAAATGCCCTGGTAAAAGGCTAGGCATTGCAGTTCCTTTTCAACGTAGGAGAACTAGTGATGCTAGACTAAGTGGGTGGCAAAACACAGTAATCGCTTCTAGAGTAATAGTTTTGATTCCCAAGTCCTGTGGAAGTTTTTTTACTTGGCAGACAGACCTTCAAAGATTGGTACCTATTGGATGTTCTTCACCAAGGTTTTAAGGATATTGAATTCTGAAGGATTGCTAGAGGGTTATTAAAAGTGGATTTTGTGTACTTTGATACAGTATGTGCACTGAACTCCTCAGTCTGTAGATAGGGTTTGGGTAGGTGACAGTAAATTTCTGATAACCAAAAAGGTAAGCAATATGGAGGAAATGGAAGTTGTAGAGTTAGAACCTAAACCTGTTTTTTAAAGGTTATACCTGCACTAAACCCCTAAATAATGTTCAATATCAATGGAGAGAAGGGTCATGCTGTTAAATTTATTTGGACAATCACTAGAGGCTGGTACGAACGCAGCAACACAAATGAAGACAAGGAAGACTTGTCTAGCAGTTCTTCATGAGATAGACTGAAAGGAAGCCAAGTTATCCCCTGCCAAAGGGGTCAACTCCTTTTAAAATATGCATTAAAAATAGTCTTAACGATATGGGGCTTTAAGTGATGTTTTTGTTATGCTGGTCCTTTTTCTGAACTTAACAGAAACCATCTGTTTCAGTGAAGACCATACATTTTGTGTTTTCCAAATGTTTACTACTTTACAGCCTTAGAGTGCTGGCACATTCTAGTTGCTCTTTTCACAAGCCTCCTTATCTTTGTTATAAGCAGTCCACAAAGGATCTGTTTTAAGTTCTGCCATCAAGGTGTATGTCTTGCCTAGTCTTGATGTTTTGAGTAAACTGCTGTTTGGGGGCATGTACCTCTTAAGCAGAATTTAGTTCTGGAGTTGGAGTATTAAAGGTTCCATGCATCAGTTTTGTCATGTCTTACATGATGTTCGTTACAGGCTCATTTCTGAGGTATAGTAAGGGGGACAGACACATGACACACAGTAATGAGGTACAGATGAAGGGGACAAAATGATGCTAAGAGATCTAGAATTAATTGATCAAATCAGATCACCCTGTTAAATTTTTTCCACTGTCATGAAAAATGCTGTGTTGATGTGGCAATCCTTTTCTTCTGTCATTCCACCTGGAAAATGGCAAACAACTGAATAGCTGTCATATAAAATCTTGGTGCTTCAACAGTGTGGAGACATAAACAGCTCTTCGTGTGAGTTTCTGTTCTGCCAACATTATGCCTTCATACACTACAGTCTAAGCAATGTGTAGCAGATGTTCTGTAACTCAGAAGTGTAATGCACGTGTCATGCTGTGAAGACTCCAGGTTAATCCTCTTTCCTGTGGGAGGTAAAACAATTAAGTGGAAAGCATTGATGAACAGGAATCTTCACTTCTTTACCTACTGCGTGCTGAAGGTACCCTTTTATTTACTGCTGATCTTGGCACATTCCATCAGCTATAGGTAGTAGTTTTTGTCACTGTTGCCTGCTTTTAGACTTTGGCCTGGTCCTTGTATTGCAAGATCTCATGTATTTTATCTGACTGGTCTGGAGCCCAAATTAGACTGAAGAATTTTTGGAGAAGGAGCTTCTAAATTGAGCCATTGGTGAGTAATCCCAAACTGATACACATGGGAAGATGTTCATTAACTTCACCATTTTTAATGGCTAGGACTTGTTTGTGTTGTGTGTTTTTTTTCACAAGGGGTATAAATTTTGGAGTGTTTTTGTAGGAAGGACTCAATTTTCTAGCTGGACTAGTAAGAGTAAGGAAATTCTTCCTGTGAGACACCTGAAAAGCTGTGCAGAAGCCTCAGGGCCTGACTGAATTGAAACTGGATCAAGTAGCCCAACTTCTTGCTGGGGTTCCACCTTTGCGTTCGGTGAGATATAAGGCACAGCAGGTACTGGTGGCTTCTGTCTGAAGGAAATTGTAGTCTAGAAGGTGAAATACGCACTACAGGGGATCAAATAAAGACTAAGGAAGCAGAGTTTGAAAGAGCAGAGGTTATAGTGTCTTGGCATCATAGTAAAAAAACTGATTCAGATGAAAGATGGTAAAATCTGGCATCACCTGGGCAATGAGTTGCTTTTGTCTATGGAGCAGCTTGGAACAGGCTTGAGAACAAATGTTGAGAGGAAGAAATGGAGCCGATAAAGTCAGTGGATTGTGATAAAGGAGGCACAGTATGCTGTGAGAAGACTGCAGTACCAATAGGCAGAGGGATAAAAGGCTGATGTGGGCTCTTTTTGTTCATACAAAATGCAACATTTAAGGAATCAAATATGCGGGTCTCTAGCAAATCTATTTGCAACAGTCAGAAGAAATAAACTGGTTTATATTATTCTGGTTGGTTCTTGTACAAAACTAATTTTCATGTCATACATTTTCTACACGGAGGAAAGGGAACATCCTGTAGCAGCTGTTGATACTAGCTTTGTACAGTAAGTTGGAAATTCTAGATGTGAATGCTCCCCACTCATGCACTTTGATTTGAGCCAAACTGATGGATTGAGCCTTGTTGCTGGATGGATATTCTGGTGCTGAAGAGACCAGATGAGAGTAATTTTATTTTTTTGTTGTTCCAAATGCTGGCAAAGTTTCATTTGAGCACAAGAACTTTCCGATACAGCTGGCAAAAAGTTTCTTCATTGCTTTCCTAACACAATAGCAATAAGCCTTAAATGTTTCCATGAACGCATTTGTTAGTTTCTCTAAGGTGTAAAATGGACAATTTTAAGTAAGCTTTGATAAATCCGTGTCAGGACTAGGCACATCCTAGTCCATTAATGCTTTTGGACTCCTTTGCTTTAAAGAGATTAAATGGAAACTTAGTCTTATGTGTATTGCTAACATTTGTGAACTCTAGTTATGTCTTATAAAAATAAACAACCAAACCCCCCACCAAAAAAAAAAAAACCACCTTTGTGGAACTTTATCTTTACCTGGAATTGAATTAGTTTCCTCTTAATTTCAGCCTCTGCTCTCTGTAAAAGGCTGCCACTAATGAAACAGCTGCAAAAGTGGCTAAAAGGCATCCTGTGTGCTCAAAGATAATTGTGTGGGTTTTTTTCCAAGAGCTGGCTATGGGCAAGCAATACTACTAATAAAAAAGCTCCATCTTCCTTTCCAGATACTGCTGTTTATGCACAGATCCTAAAGAAGGCCAAGTAGTGTGTTGAGGCAGAAGAATGTTCAGAGCATCTGTGGCTGCTCTTAACACAGTAGATGTTACACAACCAGCAGAAGCAGTGTGATCCCAATGCTTCACTGGGGTAGATGGTAATGGCTTGTGCTTGTGTTCAGTGGGTTAAAATACAGCTTGTTATCTCATGAAGCTGGCCAGACTGCAAACTGACCTGCATTGGGAGAAGCATGCTTCGCTGCCTTGCATGATCTGATCTGATTGTACTGAAGCTGCTACCCTGCTATCATTTTCTGTCAATTGTTCCTAGCTTGTTTGTTAAGCCAAGCATCGTTTGTGTTGATTTGATAACTGGTTTCAATCACTGATAATAAAACTTTTCTGTGGCAAATGACCTGACATCCATATCTCCTGCACAGTGTTGGCTGTAAGTAGAAAACTGGCACCGACATTTTGCTTTTTCAGTGTTTTCTGTCTGATTTAACAGCCAATGTAAAAATCACAATTGAAGTGGCTTAATATTTTCAAATTAAAAAGGGGGAAATGTTGACTTTTAGAGTGTTGGTCAATAGTTTTTGCATCGCTTAGTTTCACTGTTCCCTTTATAGTTGGGTGGTTCACACTACAGACCAGAAGTGAAATTAATCCTTTTTTTCTTTCTTAAAGGCAGGATCAGGAGTACTGTAAAACTTAAGAGCTGTCAGAATTCAGAGGCAGGACTTGCTTCTGTGGAATTTTGCTGTGGGAGGCTCAATGCACATAGACTCAGTGCAACCAGGCCTCAAGCAGCTCAGCGTTAGTGGTTTCCTACAACGCAGTCTTTGGGTCAATAGCTCTGCTGCCCTTCAACTTCAAACCAGCAACTAGTCCATGTTTGATATTTCAGCCAGTGCCGTCAGCCTCATGCAATCCTTCTGCCTAGAAGCACGTAATTCTTTCTGCTGGTT